ATGCTTGAATTTAAAGATTGAGCATTTTTCACAGCTTCGAGAATTTTTTCTTTGCCTTTTATAATTGTTCTGACCGACAATTCCGGTAGATCAAACTTCTTTGCCAATTCACAAATTTTCATTTTTGTATCGAAGTCTTTAATAATGTTAACTTTACATTTCAAAGATAAAGTTTTTCTTTTCTTGTTTGATGCAGAGGAATCAGTTCTACTTCGTACAGTTCATTTGTAGTAGAGCGTTAAGATTAATTATATTCATTATTGTAAACCGCGCTTAAGTTAGGTGCCATCTATTCATTTCTTTTGTATGTCCGACGATCAAAAGACCGCTTGGGATCAAGTCTGTTTATAATTTGAAAAGTAATCTTGTCAGTTGTATATACAAAAGGTAAATTGTTTACAAAATGAGTCTTTGTTTATTCTCTGATAAATGTATACTTTTTTCGTCAATTGTTCACAATTGCAGATGCCTTTTGTGTAAAATCCAAGTCGGATGTATGTAAGCTAATAAATGTTCTCGTTAATTTTATCTCGCCTTTTGGTTCGTTCACGGTTACAAGAAATCATCACATCTCGAGTCTCCATAGATATAACAAACAGAAATAAATTACACAAAATAAATTGTAGCTATGCGTCGATTCCGCGCGACACGTCCGAACATGTAAGCTGAACAATAGTGTGGGGGGAGTGAATAATCAAGAGTTGCATGGCACTCAAACAAAAGACGAATGGACGAGATTTGAAAATCGCGTAACTCCGGGTTCACGTAAGTCGGGGTATTACTGTAATAGAGATCATGGTATTTTTTTTGGTTTCTTATATGAGGTATGGAAAATTTTAAATAAAAAAAGTGGTGATGCCAAATGATATGAAGTAGCATTATCTTATTAACAATTAAACTTTGGATATTTTAATAATAAAATTAATAAATAACTAGCTATGCATGCAGTTACGCCCGCATGGAATTCAGTTTGTGACTATAACAGTATCAGTAAAAAATCAATATACAAATTTTTATTACTTCCAAAGTATTTTTATTCAAAAATCACAAATTTTCATTGTTAATTTTTTTAACATATACGTGAAAGTTGCGGGAAATATTTTTAGCATTTTTTGTATTTTTAATATCTTTTTTTGTATATATTTTATTTTATTTTATATTTTATATTTTTTTTGCACAAATTTTTTAAAAATAATGTTTTTTTTGCGGTTATACACTGCCGGAAATTGAAAGTGTTACATCCACCCAATATTGTCGAAGACATATGAAATTGGGACAAAAGAATCTCTTTTTGAAGGGTATTGAATGATCAAAAATTAAATGAAGTATTGTACATACAGTGGTATGGAAATTACGGAGACATTTGTTATGCAAAATTGCTATAGTGTTTAGTTTATAATTTGTGAACTGTGTTATGGAACATGACTTTTTTTTGGTCCACATGTTGTTGGTGACCAGCTATGCCATATCAACAAGTGAGAACTCCATACACCCAAATGTCTGACTTTGAAAGAGGTCGGATAATTGGCATGTCAGAAATGGGAGCATCATATCGTGAAATTGCCTGAAGGACTGGCCGTAGTGCAATGTCAGTACAAAGAATGGTCACATGGTGGATTCAGGAAGGTCCAGTACTCGCAGACCTGGCACAAGTCCACACAGAAGGACGATGCCACGTGTAGACTGCCATATTGTGCAGATGGCAGTTGCTGACAGATGTGCGATGGCCATACAGATGCGAGCAGTAGTTACTGCCAGAGTCGCATCACGGACAATTGTAAACTGATTGCTTGATGCTGGGCTGAGATCTTGGATCCCCATGAATTGTGTTCCCTTAACCAGATTTCATCGCCAACAATGGCTAACGTGGTGCGCTGCTAGACGTAATTGACACATGAATAGGATACAATTGTATTTAGTGATGAATCCCAATTCTGTTTAGACTGATGTGATAGTCGGCAACATGTCTGCTGGTGTGCTGGAGAGAGCCCACCCTGCTATGATTTCAGAATGCCACTCAGGTCCAACTCCTGGTGTCATGGATGGTTTGGGGGGCAATCAGTTACAACAGCAGGACCGAGTTGGTGGTTGTTGAAGGCATGATGATCGCCCGCCAGTATGTGGATAGGGTGATCCATCCAGTAGTCATACCTTTCATGAACACTACCCAAAATGGTATCTTCCAACAAAATAATGCCCATCCTCATGCTGTTGCCATCACATGACAGGCCTTGCAAAGTGGTGTTGCAATCATGGATTGTCCCACCCAGTCTCCAGATTTATCCCCTATAGAGCATGTCTGGGATTCCATGGGTCTCATACGTCTCATAGCCATCCAGCATGCACTGTACAACAACTGATTGCACAAGTTGTGCAGGCATGGAGAGATATACCCCAACAAGACATTCAAGTACTTATTGTTTCAATGCCTGCAAGGATCAAGAGTGTATCCATGCTCAAGGTGGCTATACCTCTTACAGAACCATGTACCAAACATCAATAAAACTTCTGGGTATGCCCCTGTACATGTTTACCAAGTTTCATGAATTTCTATCAATTCCTTCTGGGTGTAACACTTTCAATTTCTGCCAGTGTATATTCCACTCTTTTGTATTTTGTAATTTCTGTTATCTGTGGTAGATGTATTTAAATTTATTAGTGCCTTAGAGCTTCTCTGTACATAATGTTTGATGTCATGTTATTTTTTGGTAGCAAAATGTACTGTTTCTCTGGAGTTCCAACTCATGATAAAGCAACATATAGTTGGCAATGAAAAAAACTCTTTTCGTAGGTCAATTCCAACCAAAGAGAAGGTTTGCCCCTGGGACCTATTAATAGTCATCGCAATCGATGTTTTCACAGGAAATTGCAGTCGTTTGAAAGATATCGGAAAGTCTGTGGGAATCATTGGAATCCTTGGGATGTTTGCCAGCTGGCTGGCTGCAGGGTCAGTGAGGATGGTCGCCACAATTAAGTTGTCTTTTAAGTCTTTAATTAGTAGCCTTGTGCCATTGCACATGTTAGGAGGGCTTAAATTTCTTAAAAGCATGATAGTGTAAGGATGCCGATTGGGGGGGAGATTTTTATTCCCTACCGTTGGTATAGCTCTAAGGTCTAAGTGTATGTGGGTGGTGGTTTTAAGAGACAGCAAAAGACAAGTATTTCACAGAAAAACCATTTATTCTTGTCGAAAATGCTTACATATTTTCAGGTAAAGATCCTTCGATTTAAAACTTTAAGATGTCTTTGGTCCTATCGATTGGATGACTGATGTTTTTCTTTCCGTGAAGCTGGAGAGGAGCCCTGGGGCGATGGCGTGTTAAAGTTCAGAGTTGAACAGTCACAAGATAGCAGCGAGTGGAAGCACCAAAGAAGAGGATGATGAACACCACAGGTGTACTCAACAGGGGACTTTAGTGGAAGTCCCGTTGTCCTTGGAATCGGTGTTTTTATAAGTTTTTCGAGATTGACTTGTTGCTAATTGGACAGACATCATTGCTTTCTAATTGGTCTTCCACCTGTCTCCAGGTGTAAATGGAGCTTCGTATAGTTCGCAGGAAAGGTCGGCTGGAGATGGTTTATCGGACACCATCTTTTAGACTCTGATCGCGTTTAATTGTTGACTATGACATCTATGATCATTTTGATATTTTTTTTAGTTTTGTTATGCTTTCTGAACTGTGTTTTAACTTTATTATTTTAAATTTTCTTCTTTTATATCTAAAATTTTGTTTTTCCTTCTACTCTTTATGAGCATCGACATCAAAGTCCGGTGTTGCCGTTTCGACGCTTATATAATTTGTTTTCTTGACGATTTAAATTAACAAATTTTTACACATTTTTCTTTTGGGGTGGGGGCAATTTCTGGGGCCTCACAATAGGTGTACTGACTTTTAATGGTAGTTCGTGAGATGGCAAGCCAGAAGGATTAAGCAAATTTAAAAATTCTTGTGAATAGTGGACTGCATCCTTGATATTGGTGACTGTGTGAATTGACTTATAGTTTTTGATTTGGCTGGGGACTTTTTGTATAATTAGATTGTTGATTTCATTGACAATGTTGTTCCTAGGCGATACTATTGCCCTTGAACACAGCCAATGAAAGTCTCTTTCAAGTAAATTTTTGAGGCCAGAATATACTGCATCTATAAGATGCTGCAGACTATGGACTATCCAACATAGTATCTCATTTAGAAAGATGTCAGCACAGTTAGTGCTCAAATTTGGAGAAGGAAAAACTCCTTCCCTAAGTTTGAGTAGTTGTTGTGGGAAGTCGTTATGTGTGACTCTGCTAAGATAGGCCCTCGTGTTAGTTCGCAAGTTCAGGTTTTGAATGGAACTGCATAAGGAAGATGATTTAAGGCATGCTTTGATGATATCTGCACACGTCCCTTTTGTAACTACAGGGAGTGTCTGCCAAAAATCACCAGCAAACACAAAAGTAACTCCCCCATAATGGCGCCAGAGTTTCTAAGGTCCTTTAATGTTCAGTCCACAGCTTCAACATGGGCTCTGTGACTCATGGTGCATTCGTCGCACATTATCAGTGACACATCCTGTAACAATTTGCCAAGAGGCCTGTTTTTGCATATGGAACATACAGATTGTTGCTCCAGAGATGCTGATAATGGGAGTTTGAATGTGGAGTGTACAGTTTTCCCGTCGCTCAATAGAGTAGCAGTAATCCCTGAAGAAGTGACTGCGATGGCTATTTTTCCAGATTGCCTTACTTGTGCTAGTAATAAGTTGGTGAGGAATGTCTTTCCCATGCCTCCTGGGGAGTCCAAAAAAATATTTTGCCTCTATTATTCATCACACTGTCAATTATTGTATCAAATGCCTGTAATCGATCTGTGACTAATTTTGGCAAATTTTCATTGACAAAATCTATCAACTCACTGACATTGTACTGACGTAACAGCATTGTACCCATCGCATCATTTCATGAACGAAAAGGAGAGGGTAATCCAAAATCACTTAAACTTTTGTCATTCAATTCCAATAGCTTATTATCGATTTGTCTCAAACCTTCGTTGTACATATTGTCATTGAAAGGCAAAGTAAAATCCTGATTTTGGTGTCGAATTCTGTCTGTTGTCTTCACAAAAATCTTTGAACTTGTCCCACAATTTTAATGGTTCAGATGGCTGACAAACTAGTAGAATGACTACAAACAACTCCCTCAGCTTTATTGGACATTGCAAAATTGAAGCTTCTCTCAAAGTATTTTCCCAATGATCATCAGTTTCGAGCAAACCTCTATCTTCACAAGCTGCTTGATATGTTTCTTTGACAACTCCATTTACAGTTTTTAAGTCCTCGAATGAGGTTGGACCACGTACATGATGCAGTAACATTCTAAGATAAAAACACTCAGATTGAGAAGGATGTACGCCATGTATTCTTCCCGAAGCAATGTCTTTCTTTATGCCTGGATGCCCATCAACATTTTGACCACGCCTTCTTCTTGAAAATTTGTTATTAGCCCACGTATGATAGGATGGGACTTTGTGGTACAATAGAGTTTTTGCAAATTTGTCCGTGTTGCAGAGCTCAAAGTGGTTTTGCGTGGGTTTTGGGCAAGTTGTTGTGCCATTCCTGCCATGAAGTACACCCTTTGACAGTTTTCTAAGTGTACGGCCAAATGCACGACAGTAGGATACCGGTTGTGGATCGGAAATTCTAATATTCTCCAAACAGATTCTGATGTACTTATGTACTGGCCATTTAAATAGTTTTCTACTTTGTCATGCGGATTTCTGATGCTGAAAGTAGCTTGGTCCGATCCTTTATTTATATATTTACATATATATTTGATTGCCTGAACTGAATGGCAGTATTCCACGTTAATGTGGATGTTAAATGATCGACACAATATTGCGGAATACGGGACAATCCACCTATTGTCTATAGTAACCGTTCTTCCTCTGATGTTCAAGGTAGTATTCCGACCTCCATTTTCAGTGTCACGGCGATGATATACTGGATACCCATCCTCTCCAGTCTGGGTATTGTTGATGAAATGCCAAGGGTATTTTTTTGAACAAATACTGTTTTTCATACATGGTGATGTTATATTTTGATCTCCACAAGGTCCATGCACCATAGCTACACACCAACCGAATGCCGAAAATCTATCGGACTAGCCCGATAGATTTTCGGCATTCGATTGGTGTGTAGCTATATTATATATTGGGTTTAGCGATGTTTCCATGCACCATATTTTTGATCACAATATTGAATAATACAGGATCAGCATCTTTATCTGGTAATTCAGCAACTATTACACTGTCAATTTCATCTGGTTGTATTTTTATTTCCAACCAAAACAACATATGACAGTGTGGTAATCCGCATTTTTGCCACTCAACACTGAGCATATGGCATTTGACTTTACCGAATATCTCGTCTTTTGTGAATAACTTGATAATTTTCTTCATCTTTAAATGGAATACCCTGGAAATTATGTCATGACAATCAAATGACCGCTATCCAAGTAATAGCTGTTCCTTAATCTGTGGGCATTCCGGGTTGCAAGTAAATATCACAAATAAATTTGGTCTCATGTAGTTTAGGACATACGTCATAGCATCCTGAGTTTTTTCATGCATATAATGCGGGGATCCCATGAAAGTTGAAGGCAAGATGACGTGTTGTCCAATATTTGCAGGGTTCACATTAGCATCCTGATTTAAAGCATCTCGTAGATGTATACAGTTGTCAGCTCTCAGTTGTTGATTTTGAAGTATGTAATTTAGTCTTTCTGATATCATTTTAGCCATCATGTCAACACAGTATTGACTGAACAAATCTCTGTAATAATGTAAGGGATTAAAACAGTCTGCTCTGATCATCATCCTATATGCATAAAACTGCATACATAAAACAGTTTTATTCCTTGCTGAATTTTGTTGAGGGATTGTCAAATAATAACCATCTTCATCTTTTACAAACATTAAAGGGTATTGCAAAGGATTGCAAAGGATTCGGTGTAATTCAGATACTCTTTTTAGATGGCCATCTTTATAATGAATCACTATATCCCTAGGTCCTTTGTCTTTGTCGACTAATAAGACTGCAACTTTGTTTACTGTAGGTGAATTGTATCTTCCTTGATGATCAATTGATGTTGGGGGTGTGGTCGGTGTGAATTATTAATTTTAAGTTGTCCGGCGAAAAGTTATGCTCTAAGTTGTATTTGAAGCTGCGAATGTATATATCCAGGGTGGCCAAGCTCCTTGATAGTCCGAGCCATTTTTCAAAATTTGAAATTTTTCGCGAGCCGCAATTAAATACAGTGGAACCCCGGTTAACGAACGTCCTGGTTAACGACCAAATCGGTTAACGAACTTTTATTTTGCAAAAATTTTGTCTCGGATAACGAACAAAATTCAGATAACGAACGTAACGGTATTTTGTGTCAAATTTTAGTTGTGTTAGGCACGTGCGAGTTAAGTATTGCTTTTCCGAGTGTTTGTACTATACTTCTTTTTTCAGTTTTGTGATTTATATATTTAATCAATATGGCATCCAAGAAAGAAAAAAGTCATAATGGCAATAGAAAACGACAACGCGCTATCGCATTTGAGAAATTTTTGATTAAAAGAATAAGACAATCAACTTTAGATCAATTTCTTGTTCCTTACGGAAAGAGTTTGTTAAGTTATGGCAACGCAACACTTGGGCGATTTTCCTAGGGGGAATGCCTTCTGGGAGGTGGTTTTAAGGAAAACTGGCCCCTATTTAGGCGTTACAGATGTGGAGAAAACCCGGAAAACTCCATGTGGTCAGCCCATCTGAGCGAGGTGCGAACCCATGAACGAACTCCCCGTGTTCAAGGTACGAAGACCACTTAGCCATTGGTGGTTTTTTTTTTACGAAAGAGACTTCGACTCGAAGAATCTTCCAATGAAGTGCTACCCGTTATTTTTTTTGGAGGGGATTCCCCTTCTAAGCATTAAGGTTCGTATATCTCCACTTTTCTGCCACCAACTACAACAAACGAAGGTATGTACAGTGCTATTTTATTAAACAAAGTTTACATGTTTGT